TAGCCCGCCTCCGCTCACTCTAGCCCGCCTCCGCACGCTCTAGCCCGCGGTGTAAAAATACTTTGTTTGGCCTTCCAAAAGAGGACACGACTAGAAAAAATCAACATGTTTCAGAAAGGCGGGGCATAGAGGAGAAACAATAATGTACAGTATGTGGAAAATAATGTGTTTTTTGAACCTTAAACTGCATAAACACATTTCATTACACCAAATACACAAAATAATGTTCTTTTTAGCAACATCATATGACCCCTTTAATGAGCCACCGTCTGGGCTTACCTGAGGACACATCACATTTCAGGTAACGACAAACCTCTTGCAGATGGTCCTCGTCTTAACTGCCAGAGGTCGGCGCTCACTTGGTCGTGAAGGTGCTGGCTGTCCTCCATAACTAAACTCGTCTGTGTATGAAGAGGTAGTCTTCGTCACGCTGCTCTACCTCTCCTGGCTGCTGGCTCGCCAAAATATGTTACACATATAGAAAGGAGCAGGCGTCGTTTCTTGTGCAACACACATTTAATAAGATTGTTTGCATGCAAATCTGCAAGAAAAGATATGACAGTATAAAGTCAATCACATATGGAGCATCTCAATCCTGTGCTATCTCTCCGCTCATCTCCGCATGAACTGCTGTCTTACGCGTTCTCGAGCAGACATTGGCGAGAGCTCCCCCTAGTGGTTTGGATAATTTACGCCACTGTGTACACATGAACACATGAAAAGATGTAACATTCCTGCAGATATCTATTAAAGTATGTAAAAAGGAGCCCAAGACACACTTCAAGCACTTTCAGACATTTAGTCTGGATAGATTACCCCTTCTGTATAGAGATATATAAAACTCTAAAACTTTTAAATGGGGGGGTCTTCCGTTTATGTCTTTTCTTTACACTAGTGCTACACAAGACAGGATCTCATTCTGGATATCAGCACTTGTATATTTTGCATTACCAGCTGCATTCATTTTCTTCATAACGTTAGGATTATGTTTAGCAATCAGCTCCAATATACCTAAAAAGTTCCCTTTCCTGTCTGATTCCATTGTTTCATTGTGCCCTCTTTGGCCAATATTTTGGGTTGCAGTGTAACCAAGACCTATCAGTATGTACTTTTAATAATGTTAAATTTAATATTTAAAAAAATAAAATAGGTTTAATATTTATGAATTAAATTATAAACATGTTGGAGTGCAGTGTGCTTCTGCGCTTTATAAGCTATTTGATTGATTCTGTCGCACTGGTGTGGACAGACAAATTGCTTGTCACTGTTCCAATGGTTAGGACACGGTGTAAAATGTAGCCTAGGCTACATATATAGGATATAATGTCAAAATCAGAGTATAATTATTTTTCCACATTAATTGCAGGCTTGTCTAGTACAAATATGTTTTGTTTCATTATTACAATGTACTATATTTTTTCTTTATTTACCCCCAAAAGTGTGTAAATGTTTAAACCATGTCTGTTACAACTAACCCATGTTCAGTTTGTGCCCCGCGCACTCCTTGCTGTCTGTCATTATTGTTAAAGAACAAAGAAAAAAAAACACTCAAATCTTGACTGAATATCTGATAAAGTCAATGTTAAGTCAGGTGTGCTCGAAAACGTACGGAGCCGTCTGCTCTCTAATCGCTCTGGCGGTACGGTCTGCGCAGCACCTGTTGTCAGGTTTGCATAGGGGTGGCCAGAGGGGTGGCACTGGCCACCCATGGTCACCACGTAGCTACGCCCTTGTGGAGGACGCTTGCCATATCTGTCTGCTCAAGCACGAGAAGGCAGAAAGCAGACAATATGTGCTTATAAACTATTCACGTCTTGTAAATTTAAGCTGAAAAGGTATTATCTTATAAGGTATACATAAGGTATGTGTAAATCAAATAATTTAATAACGTTTTAATGTTGAGTCAGTAAATGTGATCGAAATATAAGTAATTTGTTAACTTATATTTCCTGAGATCAGTATTAAGCAGTAATGCTTCGCTGCTTTTAGCCAACATCCTGTTTCCATGGCAACTTTGGAACTACAACAAGAAGTGTCACTTGATTACGTAATAGAACAGGTATGCTGCTGACAATCCGAGCGGTGGTTTAGAGAGTCACAGAGCAGAAACGCGAGTAATACAGACTATAGAAACACTGTCTACTGACGCCAGTTCATATCTATATTCATCGTGTGAGATACGTACATTTTATAGGCACAACCTGTACAGACAAAGAGGCACGCAGAGTGTACCAGACACTGTTTGACAAGTTTCTCACAGTACCCGTTACTGTACATCATGTCCACAGAAAAGATGAAGAGCTGGGATTTGAAAGGATCTGAAGATCTGACTGAGCCAGCAGGATGCAGCAGTGCTTCTCCTGCAACCACTGAGAAGACCAGCCCAACAGGTTAATGTCAACAAAGCATTTGAGATACAGATTGCAATGAGATTTAAATAGAAATGTGGATTTAGCTTAAATGTGGTTATATTGCCATTATGCAATATATTTGCATGCCATTCTGATAAGAAGGATAGTATTTGAATGAACTATTAATTTCCCAAACCTAAGCCATATCCATATGAGTTAAATGCAACAACTACATATTGATCCTGTTAAAGTCAAGCAGCATAAAATTAGGCGAATGTTACAAACTGGACTAATTGTTAATGTTTAATCTGTGGTTAGAGATGTTCAAAATAGCTTATTATTTATTTGTTTGTTTGTTTTTTCTTCTTTTATCAGAAAATACCAAAGAAAGTGTACGAAAGAGCAACAAAATCTTTGCATTCTTCCGAAGAAGATGGAAGGCTATAAAAAAAAAACCTTCCAGAAAAACAGAGTGGAGCCCATCGGGGTCTCAGCACAGCCTGATCCAGAGCCATCATGTGACCCAAGTCCAAGCAGTCTTGAATCTGGACCTCAAGTGCATCTGGTTGATGTGGAACAATTGTGTGCCCTAGGTCTAATCTGTCCTAAAACAGAACACCAAGTGAAAACAGAGCTTTCAGTATTAAAAATGCATATCCCTCAAAGCGCGACACAACTTCAAGATCGCCTGGAGCAATGTTCATTTGACTGGACACCTGTCACTGAGGTCTGGTGCAATGTCTTCATTGGAAACGAGTAAGTCTGCAATACACTGACTGCCACATATTTGACATATAAATATCGAACCTTTTGATGGAGTAATAATGTAATGCAGTAGTATGAACAATAATAACACACAACGCGGTTATATTTCTCTCACCATCAGAGGTGTTTTATAATTTTCCATTGTACATCTTTATTAAAGGACTGAGGTGTGCTCAATCAGCTTCCTCATCTCAAAATCCTTCCAGCACACTGGAATTTTCACTCCTTAAAAATGCCACAATGCACTACAAAAACCAAAGAGCAAAGCCAGCCTTTGACTGAAATTCTCTCACTTTTATAAAGCACGAAACATAAATTGAACAAGCCAACTTAATAAACATCATGAAACAAGATAGAAGATTTAAAAAGACAAACCGTTATTTAAAAAAAAAAAAAGTCAGTCAGTCGCTCCTCCACTCTTGTTCTGGCATACCTAATGATCCACCATAATATGATGGTGGAGGATGCCATTGACCATGTCACAGATGTGAGATGGATTGGGCCCAACATGGGCTTTTTGAATCAGCTGACAGTCCACAATTCAGACCTCGTAAGGCAGCGAAAACTACAACCAAGTAAGGATTTAGACATATATAAGAAAAAACAAAGTGAAGCCAGTTCCAAAGCCATCGTGTCTCCCAGGTCCAGAAGAAGAACCTCAAGGGAAAACAGAGCTCCAAAACATGTTCCAACTGAAGCAATGCTTAGAAAAATGTGCACTGGACTGGACACCTGTCACTGAGGTCTGGCCCAATGTCTTCATAGGAAATGAGTAAGTCTGCAACACATTGACTGTCACATAAATGACCATAAATTATCCCAAACCATGTAATAAAACAATAATGTATTGCATCAGTATGAACAGGAATCAAACATAATGCAGTTATATAATTCTACATTTAAATCCTCTTTAGTGAAAGACTAATCTAGGCTGTTGTGTTCTTGTGCAGAGAGACAGCAATGGACCGAGCTAGACTAAAGGAGATGGGTATTACCCACATCCTGAACACTGTAGCTGTGAAGAAAAAACGTAGGGTCTTGTTAGGAATACCAAGAAAGGATGACCTATTAGGAAAGGCCAATATAGGGGTGAAATATTACAAAGGCATGAACATCAGTTACTATGGTGTGCCTGTAACGGATGACCATTTGTTTGACATCAGCAAATACTTCTACCAAGCTGCAAAATTCATCCACAAGGCCCTGAGTAACACAGAGAGTAAGAGCCGATGCAAACACACACACTATTTATTATCATTTATCATCTATTGTTTGTCCTGTAGTGTCAAACTGTCAAGCACTGAGTTTGTTTTGTCTTTCTTTTTTCTTAGGTAAGGTGTTGGTGCACTGCTTAGATGGTGTCAGAAGATCTTCCACTCTTGTTGTGGCATATCTGATGACCACCATGACATGATGGTGGAGGATGCCATGGACCATGTCATAAAGGTGAGACGCATCAGGCCCAACATGGGCTTCTTGAAGCAGTTAATAATACTCAATTCAAAGCTTTTGAATCAGAGAAAACTACAGTTTAATAATAGACAGACAGATAAAAACCACAGATAAATAAATTCAACGAGCAAAATAAAAACCATTATTATTTAACAATTACATATGCTTAAAAGCTTTGCACAGAAATTTCAATAAAAATGAATACTAAAATATTACATTTTGCCTAAATTATATAAAAATGAGCTTTATTTCTTGAACTGTTTGTTAGAGCACTTAATCTTTTTTGGTTACATTTTTTTTCAATTATAGATAAAAAGAAGAAGGGATCGTAAATCTACCTCTTCAGGTCCATAAGCAGTAATTTCTAAAAAAAAAAAAAAAAAAAAAAAAGTAGCTAATGTACATGCAGAAAAGCTTAAATGAGACATTTGGCGGCTTTATAATATTTCTTTTATTTAACGCTTTTGTTAGCTAACTTAGGGAGTCCATTAGAGAACAATTGTGATTCTTATATCCCAGCTACTTAAAGGGTTAGTTCACCCAAAAATGAAAATTGGCTTGTGTTTTACTCACCCTCGAGTTATATAAAAGTGTTTATTACGTTTGAAATATGGATAGTTTTCTTACAAAAACGCATGGATTCACTACAGAAGGCCTTTATTCACCCCCTGGAGCCGTGTGAAGCACGTTTTATTATGAATGCGCACGCTTTATTTGACGACTTGTGGACTGTTCAACTGCAACACCCGCTGACTGCAATGATAGAGCTTGGAATAGCCAGGACAAATTTTAATATAACTCCGACTGGATTCGTCTGAAAGAAGAACGTCATATACACCTAGGATGCTTCGAGTGTGAGTAAATCACAAGCCAATTTTCATTTTTGGGTGAACTAACCCTTTAAGAAGGAAAGTTCCCACTTTGTATGTCATGCATTAAGCATTTATGAAAATTAATAGTAAATTCCAGTAAGTGCCAGTAATCTAAATACAATTTATAAAAATTAGCATAGAACATAAATAATTACAAACAGAGGTAACATACGTATGAACTGAAGTACATAAGTGTATCATGAAAAAGTTGCATAAAAATAAAGCATATATCTTTGTCATGCACTGCTATTAAAACTATAGATGAAAACAAAAACATCTTCTCTGTTCTTGTTCAATAAGGAGAAAAATCTTCATGATCCTGTATACACACGCTCTGTGAAATAAATACGTAAAATTACATAAGATCACATAAGTTCAGGACATCTATCCTCAAAATTAAAGTCAGCATGAAACTGAATCATTATATATACATTACATATATATATATATGTATATATGTGTGTGTGTGTGTGTGTAGTGTATATGTGTATGTATATATATATATATATATATATATAAGTATAAAGATGTGCAATGAACTGCATTAAATAATTGTCATTTCATTTGTATGATTTCTAGTTAGTTTTGTTATGATCAAACAGAACTGTAAAACTGTATCCATAAAGTGTCTATGTGAAACATGCCATACTTACCTTTATAATAGGTTGTTGTAGATGGGGAAAAGAGGGTTATCTCGCTCACAGTGAAGTTTACAAGCCCTCAAAACATCCCACACACACTGATGGATATAAGCATACTGAGACTGCAGAAGAGAAGTCCATCATATTAGGGTGCTTATAAAACCAATTCACACATTTCATTAAACCTACAGAGGCAAAATAGAGGAACTACATATTTAGGCAATTGATTTCTAACTGAAATTGAGCATTTTAAAGCCCATTCATGCCAAAGACGATAACTCTTATTTTATGAGAATAGGGAAGTCCACAATACAACTATAATGATAATGACACAGAAAATCTATCAAAAAGCCATTTTTCTCAGTTACTGTGTCTTGTCTGTGTAGGATAGCAGCACTTTAGATGAACTTCTGTTCAACTGGAATTATTTCATTAAGCAATGCCAATCTGACACCAATATAAATGTTGCTATACAGACAGACTCATACCTCCGTTTGTACCATGTATGAGCGATGCAGGCGTAGATCAAACACACATCCATAAATGTCCACTGTGCAGTTCCTGTCCAGTTGCTGTAAAACACGATCCAGCACAATGAAAGTGCCAGTTCGGCCCACACCAGCACTGAGACAGAGAAAATCATATCCAGTGTAAATATCCATGTGAACATCCTGAAATGTTCTTCAAAGATGTTTAGATGATACACAGATACCTGCAGTGTACTACAGTGACTCCTGGACTAGTTGTCCTGTCAATGTAATCTCTGACTGTTCGCACAAACTGAACGAGTGATTGGGTTGTTTCCGGTACACCGTGATCTGGCCAAATGGTGTAATGGAACTGACGCACAGTCCTGGGGTATCTCAACTGACCCTCCTGAAAAAAGACTTTGCATCATGTCGTCTCATCTTATAAAATACTACTAGTTGCTATTTTATTCATTCATTCAGTCAGTCATGAACTTTATTTCTTCATATATGTGAGCCTGGACCACAAAACCAGTCATAAGTCACTGGGGTATATTTGTAGCAATAGCCAACAATACATTGTATG